AGCACAGCACAGCACAGCACAGCACAACACAGCACAGCACAGCACAGCACAGCACAACACAGCACAGCAGTGAAATCATTATAGGCAAGTGCGAATACTATCTCATTTAAATACCTTGTACTTCAAGCTTTAAAATTCCTTTTATAATTCCAATACTTGAACCTACATCACAGACGTACAAACCAGCATCTTTTGTTGTAACACCCTCGATTGTCAGCACCAGTGCTTTGGTGTAGTTCAAACTGCCTTGAGAATAGTCAAGATTAAATGTTCTGTCGTTCTTGGACCAGGTCATTACGATATTAGTCGCTGTTCCTAGAACGGCGCAAAACAGTTGAACAGTGTCTCCAGGACTGACGCTTATCCTTGAGACGAAGTTAACGAAATCCAAAAACACTGTGGAATGATTTTGAAGAGAAAAGAAAAGAAATGTGTTAAGCAAACAAGTCACCTAGAAGAACATAAGAAGATGTGTAAGCGCTGCTTACAGCCATGATGTGACCTTATCTTGGGTTCAGTAATCATACATTTATAACATCAACCCTTAGTAAGTAGCTAGAGCTGGTTGTTGGATCAGTGAACTGGCATGCTACCGTAAAATCCCGGTTAGTATAAGCCCTGGGCTTATTCTCATTCGCAAGGATTCTTTGATGGGCTTATAACCGGGAGGGCTTAAATTCAAAAAAAAAAAAAAAAAAAAAAAAAAAAAAAAAAAAAAAAACGAAAAAAAACGACAGCATGTAGAACAACAATAATAAATAATAACAAAGAGACTAACAAAAAGCACATTGAATGCTGTACGGATGCTGTATGTCTTTTACTTATATGAGCATAGGGTGATGAGGAATAGGGATAGTTGTGTATATAATATGATATAACAAAATATATATGACAAAACGACTACAAAAACTTCCCCACCTATCGCACTTCCCAAAACAATTAAAGTCCCCAAGTTCTGCCCAATCTCTCTTCTCTATGCGCGCCATAATAAATTAATGAAAGCTAAAGACAATATCGAGCTTACTTGGTGTAGTTGTGTGAATCGTAGTTGGAATATTTGGCGCYGTTGTTGGCGGTGTTGTTCGCGGTGTTATTGGCGGTGGTGCTGACGGTGTTGTTGTCTGGATCGTTGAAGTTACTGACAAAGCTGTTTGAAATAATAAGGACATTTATTTTCTTTCCCTTAATCAAATGTTCAGATCAAACACCTAACGAACTCAAACAATTAAAAATTTTTGTTTGTCATTTTTATTTTATCAATGTCAGGTCCACTATAAGTGAAAGCACTTCATGTGTCCTACATGAGATTCAGATTTGCTTTACCTGGCCTTTGCCTAGAAACCCCAGTCTGAACATAAAATAACGATTTTCAATAATTGTGGTGATCATGATTCATCGAGAATTTACATGATCTCATAAAATCAACCATTTTGGATGGTAGGAACCATACAATCATTTACATTTGAATTCAAAAGAATTAATGCAGTTCCCAGATTAAACCGGGCAAGGATTCTAGTGTTCTACCATCAAACATGGGCGCCGGCAGGTGAGCATGAAAAACCTATATCTATATTTATAATTAGGAAAGAGAGAAAGAGAGAAAGAAAGAGTAACGAAAAAAATAGATTAAATATAGTTTTAATAGTTTTAATGATGAAAAAATTCTACCTGTAGTAGGTGCTGTAGTTGGCGTTAATGACTCCGATGTAGTCGCGACCACTGGCGTTGAGTTAGCGACCAAAGAGAGAGAAAGAGAGGGGGAAAACATGAAAAACGAAAAGAGAAAAACTAGCAATGGGAAAAGAAAGTATACCATAGGTTTTAACCAATGTAGTGCTAGTACGTGTAATTGATCTCCTTCCCTAAACAATTGGATGAATGATTATGATTTAGGATTACATAGTACTATTAATAATGCGTTATATCTGGGAGAAGATGAGTTTAACAA